TTTCAGCGTACTCTTTGGACGGACTCGTAGTTGTAGCGCTTCTTGTCATCTGCTCCTGTGCTTACCTGAAAAGGGTCCCACGAATTCATACTTGGCTTCTTTCAGAGAAGAAAGGATTCCTTGGAATATTCTATAAGGTAGGGCTGAGTTCCATTAGCATTGATCATATGGACATTTTGTCGGGCAATTTAACCGCAGGTTAATTTCTCATAATTGACTGTTTTTCCACGGTCACAACATGCGAGTTTGGATATTTGATTATATCCAACCACTAGCTCTCATTAATTGTCGGGGAATTTTGTAACTAATCTTTTCTTACTAAGTCTTAGTGAGAAATGTTGTTTTGATAAACATGTGACACCTCTCCAGGCATCTGTTATCGGCGTCCGGTTGCATTCGTTTGTGTCGATTGCCTGTTTTCTTGCCGCCGGATATACGTTGTTTCTTAGATAACTATGGTTCAACACAAGATCAAGCAAAAGGTTCGTTTTCAAATTCAAATCTTCTCAAGCTGAGAAGCATATCTTTGAAAAATTTTAGTCATCTCTGTTGTTAGTTAATCACGAGCTAATCCCTTTGTAATCTCAAATCTGGAGAGAGTTATTTTAAAGCGCAGTTAATGGAAATCTATTTTCAAATCGAAGTAATTATAGACGACACTGCCAAAAGGTGTCAAGCAGAAGGTCAAGAAAGCAAAACCAAATGGTCCTAAACGCGGCCACAATCTCTACATAGCACCTAAAAAACAAAATCTTATGCAGCAGGTAAGCGCATTCATATGTTCTCCTTTTGATTACATTTCTCCGGCGAAATTGAATATCTTGATTTTATCTACTTTCAGGACAAAGTGGCTGCAGAAGTGACGAAGATAATCAATGAGAAAAATGAAGAAATGGTTAAAGGTCGTGCCGATACTGCTGTTGGCCGCAATAAAACGGAGTGATTATGATGTTGTTGTTTTCACCTCTGAAGTTGTTTGAATTCTCGTCGTCTGTTCGAAAAAAAAGTTGTCACAGATCCAATTTTGAGACCATTAAAATACATTGCGCAGCTGTTTTTATGTATAAAACCATATCGTATTAAGATCTATGATATCTCATTTATAGCAGACTTGTTAATGTGTAAATTGCAGTTATTTTTAAAATTGGGTTGGTTTGAGTGAAGAAATAAATTTTGTTGGTTGGATGAAT